AAAATGTGCTGATCCAATGGACCCCTCCCTCGGATTCATCCCAGGACTTTGATTTTTTGTGAAAAATATTTTTCAAAATGCATATGTTTTTACCCGTGAGGATATTAAAAAAAATAGAGACCGGCTGCATTAATTTTTTGATAATTCATATGTACATCATCTTACTTCCACACTTTTCGTATGGAATACACTTTAAATGGAGATGCATGTATAACTTTTACAATTAGAGAATCAAAGATATGGTTGTCATATTATGATACCCAATCCCGTTTATAAAACATTGCCCTATTTTCTTGATGGAGGTGGATTCCAGAAGTGTTGCTTGATTAAGCCTTACTGGGTTATCTTTCTTATTTATATTTACGTTTCAGTGTCACTATATATATATATATATATATATATATATATATATATATATATATATATATATATATATATATATATATATATATATATATATATATATATATATTTGTTTCAAATTATTTTTTGTCATTCTGTTTTGATTCAAATTTTATATTATATCATATGTAAAATGTGAAGATAACGAACAGGATTAATCTCATAAATCAAGTAAACAAAACGAGTCGTGAACAGGGCAAAAACTCGGACCTCTGGAAACACCAGAGGTGGGATCAGGTGCCAAGGAGGAGTAAGCATCCTCTGTTGACCATGAGCCCTATGAATTGGTCAGGTATACGGACTACTCCTTAGTCAAATTTAGTATAAAAGCAATGACCCAACAAATAGTATTATGTCTATACAATCAAGTTTGAAATCTATTATTAAATTATTGCCACATTTAAATAAATCGTTCATTAATTCTATAATACTATGATAATTTTTTAAAGATTTTTGAGAAAATTAATTTCAAATATATCCATGAATGGCTTGATCCCACACTTTATGATTTAAAATACGATATTATTTTTTCTACTAACATTTATTATACTTGTTGCTGAACATTAGATTATGAAAAAGTGCAGACGATACCAATATATCGGTAAAATATTCAGCCCTAAGTACATGTACATGTACAATAAGTTTCCAAGGAATTATTATTTTTGCGTTAAAATCAATATTATTAAGTCTTTTACTTATAAAGAAAAGCGAAATAGCATGATAGTTTCTGCAAGAAAATGATTGAAATACTTGGTGAAACCCAGGAGCTTCCGGAGGCTTCGCCCCCTGGGCCCCCACCAGGGCTTCGCCCTGGACCCACTGGGGGCCTCACGGTGGCCCCACAACCCTTATTGTTCTTAGCGTACACTTCACTTTCATTCTGGCGCCTGATATATCTATCTATCTATCTATCTATCTATCTATCTATCTATCTATCTATCTATCTATCTATCTATATATATATATATATATATATATATATATATATATATATATATATATATATATATAGTTTTTGGTATACCTATATAGAGAAAAATAATAATTATGGGGGTACACTAAGACTTTCCATAATATACTGAAACGCAACATCATATTTTAGGGGGAAATAATACATATAGGATATAATTTTGTATCTAAAAAGTAAGGACTTCTTCAACTTTGTAAATATCGGTAATTTAAAGGTTGAATGATTTTCATACCATTACCGGAAGTTAAGTTTGAGTCTACTTATCAAATATCAAAAATTGCATGTTTAACAAAATATTTGGCAATATCATGGGGTTTTAAGGTATTGTATCTGCTTATCATAAGTAAATCAGCAATGTTCCGAAAAATAAATTCCCCTATCTTTTCCGTAAGCGATGCCAAGGCTTCCTGAAAATGACTTAAGTAGACATTTCCATTGCTCTAGCTGAAAAATCTCAAAATAAAGGTGATGGAGAGTTGCAGATGTAAATATGACCTACATCCCGCCACAACAGGCTCTTACGTATCATTAGCATGAATGACAGCCCTTGGACCGGAAGTCCAAGGGTTACTACACTGCGCTTGGCTAGAGAAAATTCGACCTCATCATCTGAAAAACAGGCATTTAAAAATGGCAAAGAATATTTCTTTCGCTCAGATCTCGAGATTGATGAACATACTGCATAAAAAAATCAAGCTGCAATTGTTGTGCATGGCAGACTTGCACGCTGTAATTGAATGGCCGGGGTGGGGGGTGTTTTAACACTCATGTGTTACTTTCTAAAGTTAAAAGATAATCATTTAACATTTTGATCAAATCTTTGATGTTTTCTAATCAAGTTTTACCTTAGTGTATTCATTTTTGAAAATCGTCAAATATTTCTAGATAACTGCTTGTTGCTTTTTTTTTTTTTTTACGTTTCATTAGAGAGAGAGAGAGAGAGAGAGAGAGAGAGAGAGAGAAAAAAGGAGCGAGAATTTTTCTTGCAAGCGTCGTAAAATTTCTCCACGATTTCGGGCTGATACGGCAGCCGTTCAAAAATCTGCCCAACCGCCAATCAGAAAATAGGTCGGGCGAGTTATAGCCATTTTATGGTAACGTGATTTTTTGCCTATATATATATTGCCTAGAATATCTTGGCAAAGAAAACTGTCTTCATTACTACAAAAATTAAATATCACTTCTTTGGATATTTCTCACACAACCTTGAAAAACAAATTACAAGAGCACTACCAAAACAAGATACATGAACAACTGAAAAATATAAGCAAATCAAACTCTGGAAAGTTAGCTTTTTATAGTAAAATTGTAATTCAAAATGAATACAAATTGCAAAGTTATTTAAAGCTGCCTTTAAAGAAAAGTTTTAGATCTGTATTAACAAAATTAAGGATCAGTGCCCATCCATTGTATATTGAAACGGGCAGATACTGTAAACCCCCTATTCCTAGAGAAAAACGTTTATGCTATTCATGTAAATTATTTATTGAAGATGAAAAACATTTTGTTCTATACTGTTCAAAGTATGACCAATTTAGATGCAATTATACTGATATATTTAATTTAAACACATATACTAGTGATAATCCCATTAGAAAAATTGTCAATCCTACAAATATTACAACTGCTAGAAGGATATGTTGTTTTTTGAAAAAGTGCTTTGACACCAGAAAAGAAAGTCAGCAATGAATACTTAGAAATATGTGAATATACTCTACATTATTTTGTTCAACTCACATTTGTCACTTTGTATATGTATGTATTATTCTTGTTAATTCGTTTTATGTCATGACTGTATGCCGACATGGTAATTCTCAATAAAGTGAATTGAATTGAATTTTCCGTTTTCTAAAAGTAATTTTGTTTTAAAACTCAAAATTTTTTTCCAGAAAATACATTGTAAGCAGTGAAGAAATATTCAAAATTTATTTTGTAATACATAATATATACTATGTGCAATTTAAGTTATTTGCATTGATGAATCATTTTTAAAAATATTAATTTAAAATACTGTTTTATCTACAATTTAAGAGGTCTCAATCACATCAAGAGTTGTCTTTCCTCTAATGCCCTCGCTGTCGACTGTAAAGAAAATTACTGTGTTACTACAAATATTAAGTCAGTGACCGCAACGAGGCGGACCGCCAGCCAGCTACGAGCTTTTTAACTGCAAATATCAATAAGAAAATGGGTACATAAATTAATTCTTTTTAAAAGATAAAAATAAATACCGACAATAAATGCCCTGTACATATACGTATAACACAACCATGTTTTTTATATATATTATATAATTATATATATATATATATATATATATATATATATATATATATATATATATATATATATATATATATATATATATATATATATATATATATATGTGTGTGTGTGTGTGTGTGTGTGTGTGAGGGTGTGTGTGTGTGTGTGAGTGGGTGAGAGGGTGTGTGTGAGGGTGTGTGTGTGTGTTAATATGTTATGTAACAATTGAACGTAGAGACCGGGTTATAACTTATAACGTCAAGAAGATCAGCAGTTTCTTAAAGAATTTGCTGGAAAATATTTTGCATAAAGTGTTATTTTTTCTTTTTGTTTGTGAAGATATCTGCCTCAAAAATAAAATTAAATGAAATAAAAATAATTAATAATAGAACCCCCCCCCCCCCATCTCAAGTGCCTACGCAGAGTTAAACTGACAATTATCAAAATTTCAATAAAGTAACATAAATAAAATAATAACATCTATTAAAAAAAAAAATAATAACTAAAAAATTGACCCCCCCCCATCTCAAATGCCTACGCAGAGTTAAAATTAAAAATAATAATAAAAAAAAATTGATCCACTTACTTCTATTAAAAAAACCCAACACGTTCGTGAAATTCGATTATTTCCAGGCAGACAAACTCACGATAAGGTTAATAAAGAAAAAAATCCCGAAAATGAAACTGGTTTATGTAGGTCATATTTCTGTTTTCAATCTGGGTGAGTCAAACTAAAGATAATGTTAGATTTATCAACATCAAATGAGAAAAGCGTAAAGTACGTAAAGAATGATCTGGGGGAAACCAGTTATTATAATTCAACTCAATTTATTTAGAGGTGATTTTTTTTCTTTACTACTTTAGAGGCAAATTCATCTCAAAAGTATCACAATCAATAGGTTTCAAAGTTACCTGTTCAAAGCCTTTTAATCGGCATAGCTAAGTTTTAAATACTAGAAACACATTTATATGTATTTATCAAATATATTTCTGTCAAAGCTAATATATCACTATAAAAAGTAAAACTCAATATTTTTGTAAAATACTGAACAAGATATCTTTGAGAATTAGGTAAGCTTGGAACTAAAAATTAAAATTAAATTAAAGTTAAAATTGAAATTAAAATTGGATTAAATTTAGCTTGGATTGGTTTGAGAATTGAAAGTAAGTGAACTTGAAGAACGTGTGTGTGTGTTTTAAATTTCTTTCTTTTTCATTGCAATGAATAATACTAGGCCCCTCTATCTCCAAAATGAAGTCGGGGCTTTCATGTGTCTGGTGTCACATTTATTGTTACGTCATAATTACTCTGACGTCACAGAGGTTGTTTCTATTGTCCGTCCTATCTAGACAATTTATATTGATTCGTCAATATTTGAGAATTGAAAATGGCTTACTTTGTCTTCAGCTGGAAAAAGAGAGATTATATCATGACAGTTCTGTCACTGATAATGCTGGTACTTACGGTCAAGCACCAAGAGTTCTTCTTATGGTGAGTGAAACAATGCAAAAACGGAAAGCTAAATATAAGGAATATCAATTGTTATCTCAAATGAATAATAAATGTAAAACAAACCGACATATCAATTCAGTTGATCTTCTGTACTTACATGTGTTATGTTACATGAACAGAGAGTTATGGATTTAAACCACTGCAAGATCTCAAGAGCTCGTTTTACTCTATTTAATGTACAGGAAACCAGAGGCAATATAAGGAGGGGTGAACTACTACATACAATGTATGTCTGCAAGTTAACGTTCTAGCAACAATTAGGGACCCTCAATCAAGAGTTATTTCCTATGTAAAAGGTTAAAAGCCTAAAGCCTCTCTGTATTTGCAGCAACAAAACTTATATAAAATCGTACAGAGGGTTGTACCTTACACAATCGTTTTATTTATTGGCATACATATAATTTTTCAGTAGGGAGGTGTCCCTTAATAGAATTGAAAGGTTTGCTTTGTGGCTTGGTGTGTTAGAGGAACCCAAACCTTGTCCTGGAATAGAAGATCTGCACACCGTGAGTGAAATACATTAATTCCAATGACGTTAATATATAACTAATAATACATCATCAATTCTATAGGTCTGCGTACATGTAACTTGTATTCTCTTTTTAATTCTTTTTTTTTTTTGACATATCTACCACACGGAAATAACATGCAAAGTACATAACATGAACATTTTCTTCTGAGATAGATGGTGATGGAGATGGGAGTTTCGACTCTTGCTGTATTAGCCTCCACTGCAGCGCCAAAGCTGTTGAATTGGACCAAATCTGTGATTTGTCATGCAGTACAAGCAATGAAGGACAGCATCCGGTATATAAAGGGTAGGGAGTATTTTACAGTACAATGACTACAGTATTTTTAAGACACAACGTCATATCTTATAAGTACCTTAATCGTATTTTTATTTTGCAGATCGCATATTTCCTCGAAAATTTGAACTCAATGCAACCCCGCAGAAATCAGAGTCCAAGCTACCTCGGGAGAAATTTATACAGGAATCTGCACCCAAAGCCCTTGAAGAGGACCGTCCTAAATACAAGTATTATTTGTAAGTCTTTTGGTATTTAACTTGTACATTGATAGAATCTTGGCAATGTCTAAAGTATAAAAGCATTGTAAAAGAATTATATATATATATATATATATATATATATATATATATATATATATATATATATATATATATATATATATATATATATATATATTAGGGATGTCAACGAATATTCGAACATTCGAATATTCATTCGATAAGTTGATATTCGAATATGAATTTAAGATTCGAATATTCGGTGTTTTTCAGATTTCATAAAAAGAAGTACTGTGATTAATAAATTTTGATTAGAACAGTGCTGGAATTATCCCTGTTTAATTTACTAGCGATCAATTTCGATCGCCCGATTTCTTTCACTATTTTCTTATCTTAATATATAGATCTACTAAATTATTTTGTTTCGAGTAAGGTGTTTAAGAATTATACAATAATGCTTTATGTATAATACAAAACGTACTTTCATAGTTTTTATTAGTTAAATATGATCGAATCTAGAATCGAGGACAACGTAATGAAAACCTTCTTAGAATGTCTGAAAGACGTGAACAGTATACTTATGAAAACAAATTTAATTGATCATTCAAATAAATATCCGATAGAATTAGTCTGTAATTAATATTGTAAAGGGCTCAATTTTAGAGTAAATGTGTAAATTACTTGATTATCTCAGGCTGTACATAATCCTGAATTTTATATTCATTATCGGGAAATTAGTTAATTACCTAGGAAAATTGTCTATGGAATTGTTTGTTTATATTTTATAAACATTGTATCAAAGAATATAATCATATCTCTTATAAGCCTGATGTAATTAGTTACATGCATTGCGATCTGAACAGTATACGACTATCCCGCCTTTGGTAAAACGACTGGTTCCTCAGTTGGAGCTACTATAAATACACACGTATCATTTGTTAAAATTATACTTTTCTACGTTTAAATCACTTATTTATTTCAAACATTGACAAGTATCAAACGGATTCCTTTATTGTACACCTATAAAAGTTTTCATACAATTTTATTTCAAATATAAGAATACCTACACTAAACTTTCATGAGAGTAGGATGACGCGTATTTAAAATATACCAGATCTTATTTATTTTATCGAATATTCGAATATATTCGAATACTTTCATTGAATATTCGAATATGAATGATTGACAAAATTGACATCCCTAATATATATATATATATATATATATATATATATATATATATATATATATATATATATATATATAGATAGATAGATAGATAGATAGATAGATAGATAGATAGATAAAATATATATATAAGTAATATTTTCTTAATTGTCAAATTTAAAAGCTTCATTAAGTTATCATAAGGATCATAATATTTACAGCTTCCGCAAAGCATACGAGATGAAGAGAATTATATTGTTCATAAAGAAGGGAGAGCGATGCGAGGAAGTGTTTGCCTATAGTCCCAAGACCAAGAAATTCGTACTCAAGTCCTTCTACCCAAAGCAGCCTCGTTATTGAGATTGGTGTAAAACGATACCAAGAATATGAGCATCCATGTCCCTTTAAAGAGTTTTATGTACACAACCCCAAAATTATTTCCTGAGTTTTTAGCCTCTTTTTCTGCAAAAATAATTTAAATTCTACTTTAAATAGCTTGCAATTTAATATTTAGCATGACAACTGTATCTTTAAGTTCAATGAATGAACATTTTAATTCCAGAAAAGAGGTATGGCGGTTTTCGAGCAAAGCTTTCTTTAACTAAGCACTTATGTATAACAGTAATGAAACCTATGCAGAACCATTATTGATGAAATGAAAAAAAAAAACGCTGATCATTAAACAGGGATTTAGGATTTTTCTGTTTTATTTTAACCAATGGGCGAACGTTAAAACGTTTCATTGTGTCATGCTTTAATCTCATAAGCAATAGTTATATTTGAAAGCTTATAGTTCTATGGGGTTATTGCCTCGAAGGGATACCATATATATATATATATATATATATATATATATATATATATATATATATATATATATATATATATATATATATATATATATATGCCCCTTCCAGAGGACCAGTAAAAGTACCTGACGCCAGGGACCCACTGTCAAGAGAGGCAGAGGACTATCTCCTGTGCAAAGCTGCCCCGCAATGGTATCAGGTCATCCAGTTTCAGATTCAGTGTTCGAAGCGCTTGCTGCTGGTAATGAATTAAGATAACGTATAGAGATATAGAATTAAACAAATACCGCTAATACTCTTTTTAGCATTTTCGTCAGCTAACTGGAATTATTGAGGAAGTGTTAGCAGCTATACGAGTACTGAATAAGCAAAACTAAATTTACCTATTAGAAACTATCAATTTATCATATAAACTTTGTCTTTTGAATATTTTTTAAAGCAATAAGGGGAATTTAAACATGTATGCACAAAAACCGCCATACCTCTTTTATATATATGTTTGTTGAATTCTTGGAAGTTTTACTTGCAATTATTATGTTTTCAAGATTCGTATTCTAAATAAATGTGCAATTTTAAAGTAATGTTCATTAATCACTGAAAGTGGAAAGAAAGTATGAATGAATGAATTAATGAACAATAGCAAGTGACATCCATAACCGCACAGACATCGCCTCTGAACCATTTCAGTTAAGAAGAGGGATCGAAGTCAGAGTGGGAAAGCGCAAAATAAAAACGTGTTTGATTATATGTCAGGTAGGGTCAGGGGTAACTTTAAGTAAAAGTGTACTTAATGAGGAATGTGTCTATTGTTGGGGGTATCTATAAGACTTTTTAGACAGCATATGTACTAGAAATACACCAGGTCATCTTTAAAAAAGAGTTTGTTTGCCATCTCCCTACCGACTGACTAAAAATGGCCCAATTCATTTTTTTTAACCTAGATGCAGGATCGTCCGGAAACAATTTTTTTTATTTATTCAGCAATTTTCTCATCCAATTAATAACTAATTTAACTTTATATTCGTGACCCTGCCCTACCCTGGGGGTTTTGATATGAACAAACTTAAATCTAGAGTATGTAATGAAGCTTTCACATAAGTTTCATCTTTACTTGCCCAGTTGTTCTTGAGAAGAAGATTTTTAAAAGATACGACCAAATTTTCACGAATTCTTAAGTATCGCCCTTTGAAAGAGGGCACGGCACTTCCTGTGAACAACTTAAATCCCCTTCACCCAAGGATGCTATTGGTAAGTTAGGTTGACAATGGGACAGTGGTTCTTGAAAAGAAGTCGAAAATGTGAAAAGTTTACGGACTATAGACGACAGACGGACGCCGGACACTCTGTGGCTCAGGTGAGCTGAAAAAAGCATCTTGGATACTGGTATTTTGTCCCGTTACCCTCTACAAATCGTTGCTCGCGGGGCCATAGTGTAGGGCTTTAAAGGGTTATGAAAGATTTAGAAAGATTGATTGATTGATTCAGGCCCGTAGGAAGCAATTTCAGTTGGGGGGGGGGGGGGGGAGGGGCACAGCCATACATTTTTCAGTTGACAGTTGAGGGGACACTACAAAAATTACAAAATTTCCTGAGAAGCAAAAAAAAAAAAAAAAAAAAAAAAGGGTCATTAGACTTTTTTATTGAGGGGCACAAGCATATAGTATCTATGTTTACAATAGTAATCTATATATATCGGCAAAATTATTGGGGGGGGGCACCCCCCCCCCCAAGTACCCCCCAGTTCCTTCGGCCATGTGTTTGTATGTAGTTTTACGTCCCGTTCGAGAATTTTTCACTCATATAGTGAAGGGATTCAAATTTTAGACCTTTACTCGGTACTCAGGGCCATTGAGCAGCAAGGGATCTTTATCGTGCCAACACCTGCCGTGACACGGGGTCTCGGTTTTTAAGGTCTCATCTGAAGGACCCGCAACTTTCACTTCAAAGTGCCGAGCGCCTCGCAAAGGAACATTTGCTACCTATTTTTTATCGATTTAGGTCAGTGGCGGCCGAGATTCGAACTCACGGCCTTCAGATCACGGAGCGAGTGCTGATTTAGAAAGAAATCAACGTCTGCAAGAACAGCAAGGAAACAATTTGTGAAGTCGACAGTTGGCCTCAGTAGACTGTAAATAAATTACTGAACCTTCAAGCTAAAGGCTACAGTGTCTTTATACAGTTTATGTACACATGTATATATATATATATATATATATATATATATATATATATATATATATATATATATATATATATATATACTAGATGAAATCCCGCGCAAGCGCGGGGAATTTAATTTACACCACTACCGACAGAAAATATATTGTAGTTTCTACTGACAGCCTACAGGCTTATAGAAGGAATACTTTGTTCAAAATCCCACAGGAAGTAAATGTACGTCTCCACCCCCACCCCACCGCCTTTTTGTAAAATCTTGAAAAATAACAATATCATTTAATTGACATTTATTGTGAAACCTGTTCTACAATGTTATGGATATTGTACTTCAGATGCTCTTATTTCATTTCCGCCAAGGATAAAAGGAGTGAATATGCACATTTTATTGATAAATTGATTTTTTTTTTTGGGGGGGGGGTACAAAATTTTACAGCTTTAATTATATTTGAACAATACCTTATTCATTAATTTTCTCTTTTCATGTAAGCAAGTTTATTACAAAGTACAAATTGTACTTCGGGTTCGTTGCCACGATGCTCTCAGTAAGGAAAATACAAATTTTACTGATAAATTTACAAATTTTACCGATAAATTTATTAGAAAAACCTACTACATATATGCAATAGTCTTTCGATATATAAATATATTCACAACTTATAGTGTTATCAATAATTTACCATTATTTCAATGATCATTCACACAAAAGCTTTTTTTTATGTTCATGCAGCTACAATCGCCTCGTTTTTCTTTTTAACATCGGGCTCGATGCTATATGATGTTCTAGAAGCTTCCTTCAATATTAAGATTGGCGAATGACGAAAATAATTTGCACATTTCCCTTTTTAATCGGTTATCACAACTTATTTCTTTTATATCATTTAAATCAATTTTTGATGGAATAATAGAGTGATGACGTTTTATGAAATAGATAAACGATTGCTTGTTGTCAGTTTCATTAAAAACTGCCAGTAACTTAGATCTGCCAACCGGAAACGCCACCGTACTCACGTTTTTGCTATTTCATGGCTGTTTATAGAAAATAAAAGTAGACTTTTTATTTAATGTGCGACACTTACTATGCAAGTGAAATCTAAATATAGTTTACGGACATCATCTTGTTTCTAGTGTATTGTTAGAGGAGTAAGTAAGAACTCTGGTGCACCCGTTTCGGAGTTTATTTGCAAAATGTATTAATTTATAAGTATAGATATATAAATATATAAATATATATATATATATATATATATATATATATATATATATATATATATATATATATATATATATATATATATATATATATATATATATATATTTGTAGGGAAGAGAAATTCCAGGTAAGCGTTGTGGCACATGAGCCTCTTGTTTAAAACATTCCCTGGCATCTATACCATTGTTTTCTATATCTAACATTTCATCGTTTATTATGTACAATGTGTCAGTACTTCTGTACATCTTGAAGTTCTGCGAACCATAATGACGTAAAATTTCTACCCCCGTTTACATGTAGACCCCTTGTGTACTTTTTTTCCCTAGTAATTTCTTTGTATCTAGAAATTTTTAAAACAGATGTGAAACCTTGCACTGGCGATACCAGTAATTTTGGATTTTCCTTTCGTGTGTATGGGGTGAAATGCTTTCTTTTCAATGTAAATGAATGTCATTATATGCACATTAGAAATTATAACTGGGGATTTAAATACAATTTAAATCATTTGTCAAAAGACCAAAAATATGATGTACATGTACTCTGATTATCTGTCGTGTACTTGAATGACGCTTATATCGATTCCGAAAGTATTTTTTTTTACCACTCGTAGAATTCATTGGCTGGTTGACTCTCAAATAGACATGTTTATATATCCTTCAGGATTCTCAAGTCTTATTTTTCCTTCCTAACATACTTTAAAGTAGTCATGTTGCGGATTTATTTATGAAATAAAATATATCAGAAAGGATTATAATGTAATCAGTAAGGGGTATAGATACGTGACAGGTTGAATTGTTTAGTTAAATCGAGTTGTGAATCCACGTCATTTCAAGTTCAAGAGTACAAAATTTAAAACACCAGAAAATGTTTTTCTCTTTCCTTCTTTTCTAACCAAGCAACTGAAACCGCATTTGTCTACTTATTTATACTTGTTTTATGTAATACTGCATTTTAAAGTATTTCAAATATGCGCATAAACCATATCTTATCAATGTTGATCTATGTATATGTAAAATTGTAAATGTACATTGATAAACCCATTATGGTTAAAATTTTTGCAAACAATCTATGCTATCTGACCTACCCATCATTGTAAAGGAAAATTTGAATTTATATACTTTTTATGAAAACGAAAGTTGGCTATTTCATTTCTCAAAAAATAACATTATAATAATACAATCTAGGAAAAGGATGTTTTTTAAAAAAATGTTTAACAATCCTGGGAATAACTTGATATTATGTCATGGATGCAATTCTTACACAATTTTAGATCAACATATAGTATCCAGGTGACGAAGTATGTTTACCCAGTATAAAAATCTCTATATTACGAAAGCCTATTAGGATCAAATTACGGTAAAAAAAATTTAAAAGGCGTTATAACGCCTTTTAAAAAGGCGTAATAACGCGGGAAAAGGCGTAATAACGCAAATAAAGGCGTAATTACGCCTTTCCAAAAGGCGTTATTACGCCTTTCCAAAAGGCGTTATAACGCCTTTCCAAAAGGCATTATTACGCCTTTCCAAAAGGCGTTATTACGCCTTTCCAAAAGGCGTTATAACGCCTTTCTAAAAGGCGTTATTACACCTTTCTAAAAGGCGTTATTACGCCTTT